TGATTATCATAAACTAAACGAATGATAAATGAGGAACACGTGTTAATTTTTTTAAGAGTGACGATTCCTCAGAAAACCTTGCTCAACATTAATCCGCCCTGCGGAAATACGGATCATCAAGAATTAGCCGAGCAAGTTTGATTTATTCGGTGCGAGCGTGAGCGAGACACGGGGGGTGGCTTTGGGAGCAGGTGCCGGGTGTCGTCCTTGTTACGGGCCCGCAAGAAGACAACCCGCACGTGACTAAATCACCCGCAAATGCGCCCCGTTTCGTCACTTCTCAGCATCTAAGTGGTGGGAGTCAAGTCGGGATAGTGCTGGGATAGTCGACCAACCATGCATAACAGGTGTTATAGACCGTGGGGCGAGGTGGTGGACAGCGGAAGGCACAGCACAGAGGGAAAAAAAACGTATTGTGCTCTACTCCTACGCTACAAAGTCTATGCTGCAATTTTTTTTTGCCAGAATGATTACATCCAGCACGTACTCAAATTGTAAACGTCACCGTAAACAAATTGTAAACGTTGTGGCTGAAGTAGTAACTAATTGTCACGTTTTGTTTACGTAACAAGCCTTAATAATTGGCTGTGTCGGGTGGTGGCGAGTTGGCGATATATTTATATGTACGCGATCTAACCCGAAAAAAAACTTTATTGTGAATACTATTGGTTGCGAAAAGCCTACGTGTCAATATGGTACCGTTGAGAATGGGTTTTCCCCTTTTTTCTGGCAACAAAACAGCTGTGTTAAGATGTTAAAACACCAAACTGAAACCTTATACAAGGAATCATGTCTGCATTAACCACAATACGTGTGGTCAGAATGCAAACAAAAAACATACTCTGTTAATATATGATGCATTGTCCTTGAAACTGATTGGTCCACACCAGAAACAGCTTTCTTTGGAGCCTTCATTAATCTGCACTGACCAGTGTGGTAAAGTATGGTCAAATAACCCCCACATTCGGAACGGTGTGGGGACTCCCTCATCGAGCAGAGTGGATTGACACATTTGGTTGTTACATGCGAGAGGAGACGAAAAGCAGCACTGCCTCACGAAGCTTGTCGTTTTAGTGACTTAGTCCAGAGAACCTGCTGCATTCTGGGGTTGAAGTCCTGTATTTGTTCATCCCACCATCAGGGCATCGCTTGCCAGTTCGGTGACTGCACATTGAAAATGGTATCAAAGATAGCACGCCAGTGGACTCGGGTGTCTGCATGCACACAGCGGTGGATGCCAAGGCTTCTTCCAGGTATGTTCCATGTTTGCCTCAACACTCCCCAACCAAAAACCTGTACACAAGAAGCGTGACACTAGGTCCCTTAGTCTACAATGTACAGAGGCTTGCGTTTATCCCCAATGGCTCCCCGCAACTGTTGACAGCCAGATCAGAGGCTGCAAAACTTGAAGGATGTGCATGTTTGCAAGGCGGGTGGAAGCCTCGGCATTACACAGTTTGCACACATGCCGTGCCGAGTCCTGACCGCCCATATTGGCAAGGGATGTAATGAATTACACCCTGATGTGAATATCAATGGGAAGGAAGGGGGCGGGGGCTTATCTCAGACCCCTGCCTGACACCCTGTGCCACATAGGATATTACGTTAACAGTGAAAAGTGGTTCCTGCTGAAATTAGTATGGGATGGTGTTCATTTTATATTTGCACTCCAGGGCCATCGGTGGAAATTAGACATTCTTATCGAGGGGAAGATCAAATTATGCCATAGAACAAACAATGTTGACTTCCCACAAAAGTAGTACTCATTTACAGGCCCTAGAGCAGTGGTTCTTACCCTTACCTGCAGCCTTGCACCCTTTTGGCTCTCAATCTTTAAAAAAATGTATAATGTTAATAACTACCTAGGGTTTAAATATTGTTATATATATATTTTATTATTTTATTGTTTCCCTTCAACGTGACTTTACCGAAAGAGCTAAGAATATGAATACCTAGGGTTTCATGAAACAAAGCAGTTGGAATTACATGCCCGTGCTGAATGTGTGTTTTCGATTATTTACCTAATAAATAAAATCTGGCGTGTCTCGCACACCCAGAAAGGGCATCTCGCAACCCCGAGGGGTGCGTGCAACCCAGGTGAAGCACTACGACCCTGGAGGGACGAAGGGCTGAGTCGACCCACGACGAACATTAAAAACGCGCCGCTTTTCCGAGTGTGAGCCACGAGGTCTAAACCACACGGGCCCACCCGGTCGGTCAGCATAGGCATCGGATAATCTGAGAAGCATGTGATTAATAACGTTCAGATTAATTGATATTTAATAAGAGCCAAACATATGCAACGGCGAGATCAGATAGCACCACAGTAGGCGAGGCGAATAATTAAAACAAGGAAAAGCGCATGTGCTTTGTAAGGTTAATAATTGAGAAAAGCTGACCAAGCATCGCAAATGATATCAGAAACGAGAAATCACTTAATCAAAATGTCATAGAGTAAAAGTTGTTCAGAGCATTTTAAGGAGATGCAGATGACATGATTTATAAGCATACGTGGGGCCCAAATGAAAGTTTGCAAAGTGCCCAGATTTTAATGAAAATATTTACACCATTTAAACTATACATTTTTTTGTTTTCATAACATTAAAAGGCATAACCTGCCTCTCGTGTGTAGAATTACCACGCTATCTGTAAATCAACGAGTCAAGAAGTGCACTGCAATTTGATGAGTTTAGTTTTGCCAAAGATACATGTTCTGCCTCCCACCATTTCACTCAAACGAGGAATACTACCAAAACGAGTTTCCAGACGAACCTGTTCCTTATATCAATGTTTCAATTATCGTAGCAAAGGTAAATGCGTCACGTGTCACACTCCGCGGGCAGTTTGTTTTGGCGTGAAGTTCCATGGGAAGTTTGTGTTTCCGCAGTTATGTTTGCAAAAAAAATCCTTTTTACTCCCCCCCCCCCTCACCAGCATGGAAATGTTGATCATTTCCCAGCAATGGAAACGGTTTTTTTTTCTGTGCACATAATGACTACGATTGTGCAGCAAGACCAACAGGTCAGGGTACCCGTGCTTGGCACAGACTGTGCTTGTCTGTCAAGCCAGTAAAAACCTGTAGGAGGCTAAATATAAGTGAACGGCGTTTTATTATTACATCTTTATAAATGGATGGTACCTTGGCAAAAAAATGTTCATTAGGCAAAGGGCCATATGCCTCAGTTGTTTCGTAAGGCAGAGCCTAACCACGGCAAAACATGACCGAAACATTCAACATGCTCTTCTGTAAAACATGACATGGCTCTTCCAATAATTATATATATTTTTAGCTGGTGGTAAGCAAATTATAGAAGCACCACCAACAGTAATACCCTCGGGGAATATTGCTCCGTGTTATGTCAAATATATCACTGGTTTTGCGTGCTACGATAATGGCTCAATGTTATTCCTTCCCTCAATGTTGTCGTAACGCATCGTCCACAGCCAAGAATTACGTGCACTACAACATGAGGGAACATTGCCCGATTTGCAAAGCTCACAGGTCTGTAGCTTGACTGTGCCCACCGTTGTAGTTAAAATTGGGGGGGGGGAGGGTTTCCTTGAGCTGTTTTATTTCAACCCCTGGCGCTGCCGGATAAGACTGTGCTCAATGGTGGCTGTGTTTCAGTCGCCTCGCTTGTGAACTCACTGCCCGATTTATTCTGCTGCGAGTGCCACTTAGGCGCGGGCCCTTGTCACAGCTGTCGCCATTCTCTCCTTTGAATGGACGACATCACAATCCTACCCCGACCTTCCCTGTGACTAAACAGTTCAGCACATCTGTAGTGACATAGTCACGTAGCAGCATAGCGCTGGCTGCTGGCAGGGAAGGGGATCTGCAGCTTACAGCAGCCCTGACTGACGGCAGGCCACGTGATAGACCAGAGAGGGATCTAGGAGAAAGGTTAGGGAAGGGGCACATCGAGAACCCGCTGGTAGGTTCCAGAAGGAGGCGTGGCCAGGGGCGGAGCCAGGCCACGCTGACAGTATAAGAGGGGCCCCGGTAGGGGACCTCGTGGCTGTCGTTTGGAGTGGGATCCCCGTCGTGCTGCTGCTGGAGTCTTCACAGTCTCGGCGTTGCCAGTCAGGCAGTCTACCAGCTGTCCTGACTGGGAGCCGTAGTTACTAAAGCGTTAACTGTTAGGCCGTGTTAATAAACAGAGTGCCTCCTACTCTTAGTGTCTCTGAGTCAGTCACTACATAGCTACAAACACAGCCCACCCCCCCCCCCCCCACCAATGATGCAATGCATCTCACGTAACGGCTTAAAGGGCAATGCGAAGTTAGGCACAGCAGGCGCACGCCACTGTTGGTATTAATTTGGCACTAACTGCTTTGCGAGTAATTGCAGCTGCTTAACGTCACCTGCAATCGTGAGGGCACGGTAACGTTGAGTGTAACGCCGCGTGCGAGTCGAGGGCACAGCAAAAGAAACGCAATGATCGCACGTTTCACCGCGAGTGTACGACTTTTTTTTCATCCAGTAACTTTTACAGTTTCTTTTATAAAGCTGAGAAATAATATGAATTGAATTTTTTACATTTACGATGCAGATTATCCCCCACGTGTTTGACAATGGTTATTGTACTGATGAACAAAGGTTAAACGTTGAAAAATAAGAATTGGTTTTACCCTTTCTGGCAATAAAACCAAACAGAAACCTTTTGCAAAGAATGAAGTCTGCATTAACCACACGTACTTGTGGTGAACATGCAAACAAATAAACTCTGATAATTCGAATAGGTCCCATGATAATGAACGTTGAGTTAAAATCTGGCACCCTCTTGACAAAGAACCTTGGGACTTAGTGATGATTTAATACGTAAATAAAATAATTGTTACTATTTTAAATACTATAATGATGTGGACATTGATGGTGATGCTTCCTGTACCAATGATGAAGATGGCTGTGACAGCGGTTACAATGAAAATAACAGCAGTGACGACGCAGGAGGAGATTGCAAAAGTTCCCACGTGACAAAAAATAAACAAAAGCTTACCTTCAACAACACAGCGCTCAGGAACTGGGATCTTCTTGGTGACATCAGCACAATAGGCTCGTATGTGCTTCAGGTTGTCCTTCATGTATCGATAGAGACCATCCTGCGGCTCGATCTCAACGACGGTCTCAACCTCCACCATCGCGTCCCTTCCATCGGTCGCATTTACCACCTCCTCCTCATCCCCTCGTGCAGCGTGGTGAGGAAGAGACCCATTGCTTCCCTCGTGCGATTCATCCACATGCTTTGTGTCCTTCTCTTCCGCCAATGCCGGGCTGCCATCGGCCTTCTGGTTCGCTGGCGGAGCAGTGACGACATCCGCCTGCTCATCCACGGAGGCACCCGGCGCTGGCTCTCTCCTTTCCGCTGGCTGCTCCGAGGGTCCACTGGCGTCTACCTTTTCCGCAGATTGATCAGCATGAGCTTCAGCTTGAGGTCCACTCTCTGCATCGTCCTCTGCGTTCCTCTCGTCGTCCGAGTTAATGGTTTTGGAGCGCAGGGCGTAGAGCCCCAGGCTTTTAGATCTGGCAAATGACACACGGTGCAGTGAGACCCATGTTTAAAAAAATATATTTTTTAAGGGACATGTGTCTGGCAAATCCGGCGTACGAGTGACTGGTAACGGCACATTAGCGTACTTAAAGTGTACATAAGTATGAAAGTGTAAATCACACACTGACTTTCATGAATGAAAAATGTCTTAAAAGTCATTAAAATCTATTTATTAAAACGCTTTTCGCAAGTTGTCATTAGGATCTTTACAATTTATGAAAGCACAAAACTATAATATGAAATTAACTGGAATTAAGAAAATGAAAGCTTAAAAAGCCACAAATGAGGAATCATTAAGAGCCCTCAATAGAAGATTCGGCGAATCTGTTTTTTTTACTTTAAAACACTCATCGAAATGTGTGCCAATGTAGTGATAATAATTAACACAGTCACACATTTTTTTTGGCCTACATCATGCAAGTCCCATGAAGAAGCAACGTCCAGAATGCCGCAATACGTTGCCATATTTTTTTTATTTTACGTCAACTGCGGTTTTGCGAGCCCGTGCCATGGAACACTGTATATCAAGAGCAAATTTCGTGAGATTTCCAAAATGTTTTTTTCCCAAATTCACAAAAGGCTGGGGGGGGGAGTTTCGGCACAGAAACACTGAGGCCCATTGTGTGAGGGGGAAAAAAAACACTCCCTCGTGCAATCATTTCCTGACTTTGGAAAGGCAGAATAACATGCAATTTATGTTCTTAATACCCCCTCTCCTACGCAGCTCATTAAGGCGCTCAGAAGAAGGGGGTTGAGACACAGCGCCCGTACTAAATCTGATTGTAAGCCAAACCACATGAATTGCCCCCTCGCGGCAAAGCAACGGGCAATGGTGGTACCTGTAATCTCTACGGGGCATTGTTGCGTTTCGTTTATTTTACCAGCGTCATTCCATGAAGCGCTCGGGCCCGTTATTGAAGTGGGCCGTTTAGACGTTAAGCTGAAGCGGGGGGTCCCGTGAGGCCTTTGACACAAGTTCAAACGGCACAAACGTCGTGGGTTGGAATTCGCCCGGGTGGCGCAGTTGTCTTCAGAACGATTTGCTTATGAGATAGGTGGGTTGGATAGGTGCAGCCGTTAGAATTTTGGAAACCCAGTGAGAAGCAGTGATTCAGCACCCGTAAGCCACGTAAATAAATGTTGAGCAGCACCACGGCATTGAGGATGAGATACTGAAAACCCTTCCCGTGTCATTCGCAGCCTTACAGCGTTTCAATCTTCTTTGGTTCTTTCGGTAAAGTCACGTAGAATGATAATAAAATAATAAATTGATAAAATAAAATAACACAGCTTAAAGGCCGTGATCTGAACGTGGCTCTTTCACTCCAGCGCTGTCCTACCAGACAGTCTCGCCCCCTTCACCTGATGAAGGCCGCTTGTGTTGTGGCCGAAACGTCGTGAGAATATTATTGTGTTATTTTATTTTATCAATTTATTATTTTATTATCATTCTACGTGACTTTACCGAAAGAACCAAAGAAGATGAATCATTGCAGTCACGAAAGCTTTAAATCGAAATTTAGCGTTTCAATCATTAGAATTTCGACGCTCACGCGATCAAATATTGATGAGTGTGTGTTGATGATACTACTGTACACTTCCAAAAATAAATGTCCCTTGATGTAATTTTAACATGTTAATCTCAAGGCCGTTTGAAAATCTATAACACATGCATTGCTGCACACAACATGCATCATATTACTTCGATAGGTTTGTTTTAATCTGCTCAGTTTGGAAAAGTAGGCCAAAAACACCCTCGAGAGGGCCTCACCCTTTGGTGGAGGCCATTCTGGCAGCAGTGGCATGAGCACATAATTAACCTTGAACCTAGAAAGGTTTTATGTTATAGTCTTATTATGGGTATTTCTTTTTTTACATTTAGGGAATGTACGAGGAAGACACTGGCACACCAATTTGGCATCTCCTTAAAAAGCAGTAGTATAACGGAAATGTTATTGCCCCTTTACCTGATACAGAACACTCCCAGCTTGATAATTCCCCGCACACATGAATTCCACACAGCCTAGCCTAGTGGCAAATGCGAAACTGTCTCGCCAATCACGTTGCACATATACCTTATTACACAATTACACAATGCCCATGAATTATAGTTGGGGAAAACAAACAGCATTTTTATTTATCTATCCTAACTTGTACTATTATTCGCTGATGTCCTATCAAGCCGTTTCATGTTATGTTGGGTTGTGTGTTGCTCGGTACGAATTTCCGACTTTTCACTCAAGTCCCAGATCGTGCAGAACAACATCCGAAACATCCCAGCAAACACACCTAAGAGCTGTCGCAATACTTTACTTCGTATGGGACAATCTATAATTGTGGCTGCATGTTTGTGATCTTGATGGCCAAGAACTCCGCTTCGGACTTAACAGACACATCAACGATGGCTTTTCGGGTTAGATAGGGTGAAAATAAATGTGTCGCTAACCCACCACCACCCGACACAGCCAATTTGTAAGGTTTGTCACGTAAACAAATACGTGCCAGGTTACTACTTCAGAGCACAGGCGTGTTGGAGAGTAAGCCCATAACATTTTACAATTCGAGAACGATGTTTCTCGCTGGTGATTACAACCAGCTTCATCGGGTGATTTGACACATTTATATATATGCGCGATCTAATCCAAAATGATATTATAATTTACGTGAATCATGTTGGTCGCGAAAGCCTACGGGTTAAACAGGCACATCGACGATGGCTTTGGAACAACGGTACGAGAGTGAAAGAGGGAGGTGATCATGAGCCTTTTTAGAAGCGAGCCATCAATGCTGCAAGCACGCACGCACGCACGCGTGCAGCATTGATGGCGTGACGGCCGCTCAAGTGGACAGCTTGCGCCACCACTTGCCATGATGATGTGTCTCTGGCTGCCTTGGTTTGGTGACGTCGCTGTTTACCGGCCTCATTCGGAGCACGTCACAAGCACGCAGCACAACCGCGTGTGAATGTGACAAATTTGGCCCGATATCAATAGCCTTAACGGCCTTGTTATTATTGTGAGTGTGCATGTTGCACTTTGTGTCACGGTCGTTTCATAGCAATTGTGGGCTTTTCCTGCTCACTAATTTTCTCAATTGGGGTGCACAGATTTGCCTATCGTTAGTCACTAATTATACATAATGGTGGTCATAGTCGGGTAATCATGTATTGTTTAATGTGCGCTGCGTTTAATGAAAGTGCAATGATTGCTTCCCTCCGAGCCTTGCTACTCACTCTATTGTGATTAAATGTATGTTTTGCCACTGTCAACACTTTCCAGTACGCTAATCAGGCTCTAAGGTTATTTCTTTAAGGGCCTATGCTTTGACTTATTATAAATTTAGGGGGAAATATAAATGTAGTAAAGTCACAGTTCGAAAGTGATTCTGCCAAAAAGCCCTCTACACTATTTTTTTTTTAAACCAGCTTGACAGGGAACTGTCACAAGTAAGGATATGAACGGGATGTGTATGTATACGTATACATGCGTAGCTCTGCGTCAAGCCACTGCTGAATGGTAGCCTCATGGGGAATATTTGACCATACAGCACCACGCTTGTCAGTGTGAGTTTGTGGATTTGCTGCACGGCCCTCAGCTGCTAACTGCATGTGCACCGAACGTGCAGTAAACAAGATCGAGGATTTCCTTGCCAAAGACAAAGATTACATTTGATTTGCAACACCTCAACAAAGGCCTTGGAGCCCACAATGACAGGAGTGAGAGACAGACACTGTGGGTAGACAGACAGGGAGACAGACGTGCATACATACGTACAGTAACACAGATGGACAAATGCAGTGAGAGATGGACTTATTTATAGACAGACCGAACAGCCAATAAGTTAGACAAATGGACATTTTGATGAATTGACAGAAAACGGATGCCGTGACAGAAGAGACTATTGGAGTGACAGCAAGAGACATGGATGGATGGATGGACAGACGGATGGGCGAACGGACTGACGGAATGACAGGAAGATGGACTGACGAACAGACGGATGATCGGAGCAACGCGCGCAGAGGTGAGCACCTATTAAACCGAAGATCGCGGCGCTCCTCCCTGCGTGCCTCCCCGCAGCTGTATCTCCGAGTCTGTGCCTGGGGGCTCCCGCCGCCCCCCTCGCTCCTCTCCTGAGCCGATGGGTTCCCCTCGACGTGATCCCTGGGCAGGGCCGAACCCTCCCCAGCTGCGGATGGCTGGCCGACGCGTAACGGACGCTCGCTGCCCGGGAACACGGAGGGCCTGCTTGCAGAAGGGCGCAGCGACGAGAAACATAGACTGCTTGCAAACAGACGCGCGGTTCAAGCGAATGCACGCGCGCACAAATGAATCATTTGGCGGGACCCCGGGGTCCCGCAAAAATCAGGTCAATGATGATTATTTGTTCAGTCCGCCCACTACGTGACCCCGCAAGGACACCGCCTGCTGCTGGCGCCAACAAGCGCCAGCAGCAGGCGGCGATCGACACGACAGGCGCCACCCCACCGGCCAAACGCGAGCCCCGGGGGGGCGTCCGCCGCAGTCGCGCGCGGCGACGACGCCCTCCGGTCAGCCGTCGATCCTCAGCTTCTCTGCCAAGGCGAGCCCCGCCGCCCCCCCACGTGGTGAATTTAACGTGTTTATGTAATTTTTCAACTTTTTACAAAACTTAGTGCCCCGAGTAGCTCTCGACGAGGCCAATCGATTGACACTAGTTTTGTTGTCGGTAAGGCAACAAGACTCGTGTCGCTACGCGGTTTTTCCCACCCCGGGGCAGTGATGGGACCCCGGGGTCCCTCCAATTGCTTCAAATTCACACACATACAGCGAGTCATGCCCACCTATGCCTACTCGGCTGAGCCAGACTACAGTGTCATGTGCAGTGCTTCGTGCTCTCAGTCCTCCGTCCAATTTTCTCAGAGAACGATCCTCCTCAACATTATACAACTAACAAACTAAACTATTTTGTTTTGTATTTCACCAGGTAAGGCCCACTGAGATATATAGTTCTTATTTCAGAAGCGGCCTGGCCACAAATGATAACGAAAGCTGAGTTAAAATATATTGCGACCAAATACTTTAAACGCACGTTGATTCTAAATGTGGAGGGGAAAAATCGGTAGGACCAGGAGAAGATTCCGAGCGGCCACTGGTAGAGTCGGGGATCGAATCGACGACCTCCTGCATACCAGGCGAGATAATTAACATCTAGCCACCGTGGCGCCCCTCATATATGCTGCACTCTACTCCTGTCCACGTAGCCTCGGCTCTCACGGATGCCCCTTCGGGCCTCATTGGCCATCCAGTGAACTTTTCCTTGCTAAGTTGTTCCAGTAAGAGCTCATGCATGACTCCATCTACCCATGTCCTCCCTCGTGCCCCAGTGTCTCTGTATCTCCGTGTCCCCGGTGTCCTCCTGCGTCCGTGCCATGTCCATGCATGGCAAGGCTGTAGGCTGAACCCTGGTGGTCGAGTGGTGGCGGAGGGCATGTCCACTGTGAACCCAAATATCGTATTCCCCCTCGAACATAAAACAGAGGCAAATGTTATCGTCAAGATGTACAATACAGGTAGTCCCCGACTTACGGTATTTCGATCTTACGATGGCGATAGCGATATGAGAAAATTGTAAGATATTTTTAATTTCGCGCGGCAGGCAAACGCAGCAGCGTACGAGGTACGATACTGAACTTATCATCGCCATCCTCCTCTTCCGACAACTAAGTTAATGTAGCCATCAACAACCTAACATCGTTCAAGTATGCAGACGACGGACATAATCTTGGTGAGTACAGTAGAATATGATACGTTACGATACGTTCAATGCATGTGTATGATACGTAGCTTTAGCGATTTCATTTTAGGGTTACCACGATACAATGCATACGTTCAATGCATGTTAAAAGTTTTTTTTTTTATATATATAGCAGATAGGATTGTTTCTTGAAAAAACTTTCTATGAAATTTCAGTTCATATAGGTAGGCTAAGAATTTACCTTGTTTTTTACTTTAAATTGTACTGTGCAATACAGTATTGTAATTAATAAATACATACAGTATATATTTTATACAGTACGGTACTGTAAATTGCTCTGTTTTGCTAAATTGTCACCATTCTTTAAGACTCCTGGGTTAGGCTAGGGCCATCTTCGACTTACGATATGTTCGACTTACGATGGGGTCGTCGTAACGAATCTCCATCGTAAGTCGGGGACTACCTGTACTTCATCTGATCAGTCCAGTTGCTGGAAAGATGATGCACAGAAGCAATATGTGCTTTAGTTACCTGTTGTGCTGGCTTCCAAAAGGATGTTCTTTGCAAGTGGTAATATTTCCACGCTGTTGTAAACTGTTTGAATTTACTACAGCTTAGTCTTACACCAAGGCCCGTTGAGAGGCTTCGTCACAGTATGCTCAGTGGTGAGACTTTGAGTCACGTTTAGGGGAGACAATATTTAATTCATCTATTGGCCATAACAAATGGAGCCAATTGGTGTATTGTTAATACCGGTCTTCACACAGTGAGTGTGCATACCATAGAATGATTTCCAACATTTTATATATATATAACTGGGTAAGAGCCTATTGACACTTCAAATCGTATTTTCAGGGGAGAGTTTGGTTACAAAAGCGATTGAAAAAAAACAGCGACAGCAAAAAGTGCAAGAGTTGCAAAAAATTGCAAATGCCAAAAATAAATCAACATCAGTTAAATTGTTTACAGTGGTTAAAGTATGAGTAAGATACAAACTAGGTGATGCAGAGTGTAATGATGAAGAGAAGTGAATATGTTTTGCCCAAAACGTTATTACTTCTTTCTTAATTACACTCTTATTTGTGGGGGAGGGAGGCAGTTTAGCTCGCGAAAAAACGAAAATTCGCTTTCATTTTAGAGTATTTGCTTTCTCTTCAATTTGAACCACATTATATTTTACCTCTGCAAACAAATCTCGCAAGCCTCCTGCAGACACGTAAACACGCAGGCATTCCTGTGCGGATGTTACAGTCGGTCACTGCATGGAATGGCACGTGCTTACAATAATCTCTTAAAGGATGTCCACTTTGGAAAATGACAGCGAGCCAACTACAAAGCCATTGAAGCCACATGCGTCGCAAATGGGTTGCACGTGTGCATAAGTTCGGTAGCGTTTAATGTAATGGTGTTCATTAAACCTGATTGGGACAAACCCAAGCATAACAAATCTGTACAAGAACGTAGCTTTGAGTAGGACTGCCGTCATTAATACAAAAACATGTTTTTGTTAACAAAATAATTACGATGCTATTATGACGAGCGGTATTGAGTATTTCACTTGCACAAGGCAAATGTGTACGAACATTGCGGTGTTTCACACCGACACTATTTGCGATGGTGGTGGAGGACATACTTGAACAAAGGCTGTTTCAATTTCTCTGAGCCCTCTTTAAAATGGTTTCTTGACACTGAGTCATCTGGTCACCCATTAAAACGTCCCCAGCACTAAGTAAATACTTTACATGCATATATCACTTTAAAATTTACGTTGGGTGGCTGGGTGGCTCAGGGGTCAGAGCAGTGAACCAGCACCTTTCAGATATTGGGTTCAAATCTGGGCAGACACCCTAAATTCAACTGGGTTCTTAGGTGTATTAAGTTAATGGTCGCTGTTCGAAAAAAAAAACTGTCGTTAAATTACGTCTTCCACTCAACTTGGTTACATTCCAGCTGTGATATTTAAATACCAGTGAGACAACCATACACCAAACACATCTCTCTATCAGTGAGTGTAGGATAGTGCATGTATATGAAACGTAAGATCGATTCAAAGGGTTTCAGCAGAAGCTCTCTGAAGTCTGCTTCTGTGGGCCATTTTCGAACACGTGTTGACACAGGTGAAAATGGAAACGCTGTGCCATGACGTAATGGTATCAATGGAATAAAGTTTGGGGAAAAGCTAAATAAATGAAAATACTTCAGCAACCTGGCTGTCGACTGCAGAGTAATGTGGTCTACAGGATGCTAACAATGCTGACATCCCCCGTCTCTATCTCATCCATCCCCATGTATTTCGGATACGCCGTGTAAATCTAAGATGTTTGGGAAAATAGAACTGTTGCTGCTCTCTAGTTGCCTGGGTGAAAATTAGTGAACTAAGTTTTGCCCAATCCTCGCCAGCTGGATCATCAATGTAATAAATTAAACTAAACATCCGAATGCAGGACCCTTGTGAAAAGAGCCTTGAGACTCTGGGAAATATTTTTTTTGCATGAGTTAAAATATTTTATTTCAATAAAATTTCAATATAAAATATGTGTTTTAATATCCTGTACTGTATTGTTAAAGTTTCGTTCAGAGAAACAAACAAAAAAATAAGTCAAGACCAAATATTGTACATCATAACAATCACAATATAACTTTATAGAATTTTATCCTAATCGGAATACATGTTTCATTGGGCCACGTATTAAATCTTGATATTGTTGTGGAATAAATCAATAATTCCTTTCTTAATATAGGACTGGCACTGAGCCTAGTGCAGCTGCTATAACCGTGAGAAATCTGTGTAACTTTCATAGGGCTGCACAGAAAGTAACATTATAAACAAAATTTATAAAAATAGATGAGTCAAACATTGCTGTTGGACTACATTCTGGTGGAAAGGAAACTGAAAATATAAAATATAAACAAGACAAAAATGACAAGTTTTGTGACTTTTTATTTTCCTGTGTCTGAGTGATGTCTGAACATCCTACATTGAACTGTGTACTTTATTACAGATATAGCAATGAGTAGAATCTCTCTTCCAGAAATAATATGAGGTGAAATATACTTGGCTGCAAATCTCTACAGTGATCCTACATTTTATTTAAATTGATCAGTGTACATGAAGTTGTATATCTTTTAGAACAGACACTTGTTTAGTCTTCCCCAATGCTTCTCACACTTGCGCATGTCTGTTCCTTACTAGGAGACTTCCTGTGCACGCTTAGGCTGTATATTTGTACAACTATAGTCAATTTCAATGTGTACGCAACACACGTGTATTATGTATGCATGTCTTTGACTGCAAATTTTGCATGGCCTTGAAACATGATGGTGCATCCTTGAATTATGTTGTATTTTTTGGCACCTACCTATGACTAAATCAGCCTGAATGTGATCTCATCAGATTTTGGAAGCTAAGCTGAGACTAGATGGTGCTTGGATTTGAGACTGCCTGCATAAACCAGATTACATAGGCTTGGGGAATGAGGTTTAGCTATTCATTATTTCATCTTTCCAT